ACAATTAGTGAGAGAATGAATTCATTCACAGAGTATTATCCAAAACTCTATAATGGAAGACATTTAACCTGGTTGAATATTCTTTCAAAAGGTGTTGTAAGAGGTCATTTCACAAACTCTTCAATGCCTTACTATGATATTACTGTTTCCCTTATTCAATTATCTATTTTTTTACAATTTAATAATGGAGAAAATTCTAAAACAATACAAGATTTGAGTCTGGCAGTTGGTATTCCAATAGAAGAGTTGATCCAAACTCTTGTTCCTATTATTAATTTTAAAATATTTACCTCTTCTTCTGCTATTACCAGTTTAGATCAAAGCAGTATCATAACAATCAATGACAGTTTTAACTATCAAAGAAATAAGATTTCTCTTTTCCAACACTCAATCAAGCAATACTATGAAGAGGGAAAATCCAATCCAGCCAACCAAAAAATTCTAGCACAAATCAAGGAGGATAGAAAATATACACTACAGGCTGCAATAGTGCGTATTCTAAAAACTAGAAAACAAATTGAACACAAACAATTGGTGAATCTATTGCTTGCTCAACTCTCTTCAAACTTTAAACCAACAAATAGTGATATTAAGAGAGCTATTGATTCTCTCCTCCAACAAGAATACATCAAAAGAGTCAGTGAGGATTCGAGTTGGTATCAATATATTGCCTAACAAATTGATTTTTTGTCCTACATTATTATTAATCAAACTTAACCCGCTAAAATATTTCCACGTAAATATTTTTATTTTTTCATAAATTTTTTCGCACTTTTGTTAACAAAAATTCAAGTCAAACTTTATTGATTTTCGTTAATAATTAACAAAAAAAACGAAATAAAAACGTAAACGTTTGTTGGGAAAAAAATTTCAAATTTACAGGTAAATTAACGCTAAATTTTATCGTAAATTATTGACGATTTTTCAATAATGTTTAACGTTAAATATTATTGAAAAATTGTTATCAAAAAACGTTAATCATTAGCGAAAAATCGTCAATATTTCACAATAAAATTTGACTCATAATTGTCATCAATCATTAACGAAAAACTGTTAATGATTTACACACAACTCTAATAAAATTCCAAGTCGAGTTGTAGTCAATCCAAGTTCCGAAATTCCGACTAAATCCATCTGAAAAAAAATATACTCACTCACTTCCTGCTTCCAACTAAAAGCGTTCACTTCCTCTCATCTAATTCATCAGAAATGAAACACCAACAAGCTACTTACCATTAAATTATTCATCATTATCCAATAAATCTATTGCATTTAAATTGAATAACTGTAAATAAATTAAATAAATTAAACAAATTACCATTAAATTATTGTAATACTCGTGACTCACTCGATTGAATTAAAATCTTCATCAAATCAACCTCTGCAAATACCATTGCTGATTAATTAAACTGTTGAATATCAATTAATATTATTGTATTTAAATTGAATAATTGTAAATAAATTAAACAAATTAAACAAATTACCATTAAATTATTGTAGTACTCCGACTCACCTATTGCATTAAAATCTTCATCAAATCAACCTACATAAATAAATTAAATAACAAATTACCATTACTTTGGGCCCTCTTTACATTCAATTTTACATAATAACAATTACCAACACAATTACATGAAGAAACACATTCTAAAATGATGATGAATTCAGAGTGAATAATCTAATAAAACAACTAACCGAAATTGTTGCAAGGAAGTTAAAATGTGTGTCTTCCCATTTTTTTTATTAAATTAAATTCCGAAAGGACGTGATTGTTTACAATTAATTATCAGAATCAGTAGAACTGTTTGAGTCTGTTGAAATTTCCTCTCTAACTCTCTTCTTACTGTTGTTCTTTTCATTCTTCTTCTTTGATTCATTATCACCTTTCTTCGATTTCTTCTTAGAGATCTCTTCAACTTCATTTACAGTGGATTCACTATTTGAATTCTCACCCTCCAATTTTGCTTTAGCTTTGCTCTTGATTGTTCTAAAAACATTCTTGTACTTGGTAAGCTTGTTCTTATTTCTCTCAATACTTTTGCCCATACATTCGAAAATAATCTT